GTTGATGGTGGGGTGATGGTGTGTTGATGGTGGGGTGATGGTGTGGTGTTGATGGTGGGGTGATGGTGTGGTGTTGATGGTAGGGGTGATGGTGTGGGTGTTGATGGTGGGGGTGATGGTGTGTGGTGTTGATGGTAGGGGTGATGGTGTGGTGTTGATGAGTGGGGGTGATGGTGTGGTGTTGATGGTAGGGGTGATGGTTTGGTGGTGTTGATGGTGGGGGTGAGTGGTGTGGGGTGGTGTGGTGTTGATGGTGGGGTGATGGTGTGGTGTTGATGGTGGGGGTGTTGGGTGTGTTGATGGTAGGGGTGATAGTGTGGTGTTGATGGTGGGGGTGATGGTGTGGTGTTGATGGTAGGGGGTGATGGTGTGGTGTTGATGGGTGGGGGTGATGGTGTGGTGTTGATGGTGGGGGTGATAGTGTGGTGGTGGGGTGATGGTGTGGGGTGATGGTGTGGGGAGGTGATGGTGTGGGGGTGATGGTGTAGGGGTGATGGTGGGGGTGATGGTGTGGTGTTGATGGGTGGAGATGTGTGGTGTGGGTGATGGTGGGGTGATGGTGTGCTGTTGATGGTGAGAAATTTGATAGTGTGGTGTTGGTGGGTGGGGTGATGGTGGTGGGGGTGATGGTGTGGGGTGGTGGGGTGATGGTGTGGGTGATGGTGTACTGGGGTGATGGTGTGGGTGTGGTGGGGGTGTTGTGGTGTTGATGGTGGGGGTGAGTAGTGTGGTGTTGATGGTGGGGGTGATGGTGTGGGGTGATGGTGTGGGGGTGATGGTAGGGGGTGATAGTGTGGTGTTGTTGGTGGGGGTGATGGTGTGGTGTTGATGGTGGAGGGTAATGGTATGGTGTGGGTGATGGTGTGGTGTTAACGATGGGATACTGATAGTGTGGTGGTGTAGAGTCGATGATGGTGTGATGCAGATGTTGGTAATGATGGTGATGACACTGATTGTGAGAATAGTGATGATCATAATGGTTACGAAAGTAATGGTGTAAAGGATGATGGTGATAAATGACGATGAGAGCCATGATAGTGGTGTGAAAACGGTGGAAGTGGGAGTGATGGTAACGCTTTAATGATGCCAAGGTAAATAATAAACGTTAATATGACATTAGTGGCAAAATGACGTAAAGGTGTAGTCAAGGACGGCGACATGATAATGATGATGATGATGATGATGATGATGGATATGGTGGATATTAATAAAAATAATGAATATTGGCTTAATGAAGAGGATGGCGATGATGAAAGAAGATGACAAACGAATTTTATTGGTGATGGCACATTCGACCTAACGAAGATGAACGTGGCGAGAAAGACGATAAGACACACTAACGCCACAGTATGCAGGGCAGCCAGCCACACACACACACACACACACACCAGGCACGCACGCACACACACCAGGCACGCACACACACACACACACACGCACAAAAAACAACAATAAACCAATAAAATGCTTCACTTTCAATATTTCTTATGGGATTAACACAACTTACTAAACACCATTGAACCAAAGGTGAAGACAATGCACCTGGGTCACCTGCCGCTCGACACTAGTTATACACCTGTGGATCGTTATACACCTGTGGATCGTTATACACCTGTGGATCGTTATACCTGGTACCTACCTTACTTGTTTTTAATCCAAAGTTAGAAAATGTAATTGCACTTTATATTCATGGTTTGACAATACGTATATCTAATTTTCATATAAATCTATTTATTGGGAAAAAAAAAACGAAATTGTTATATATGAAAACGACAAATTTTATATTCAAAGTTTTTATTCTTTACTGGCATACTGAATTACACTGGCAACTGGGGTGGGGTGAGAGAGAAGGGCGGTCGAGAAGTGGTGTGGAAGGAGGGGTGAAGGAGAAGGGGTGTGGAAGGAGGGGTGATGAAGGAGGGGTGTGGAAGGAGGGGTGATGGAGGAGTGTGGAAGGAGGGGTGTGGGGAGAGGGGTGTGGGAGTGAAGGGTGAGAGAGGAATAATGAAGGAGGGACGAGTGAGGAAGGATTAAGTAGTAGGAGTAAGGAAGGAGGATGAGCGAGGGATGAAGAATGAGATCATGAGAGAGTATGAGTAAGGAGTAATGAAGGAAGAAGGATGAGGGAGAAATTATGAGGGGCTAGGGGTATGGGAAGGAGAACTCAATTTCCATTAACTCGGTTTCCTTTTCATAAATTTACGCACCACAGTCATTTTCATAAACCCTTTTAAAGAATCCTAATTTTATTCCCCGGCACTATAATTAATCACAAATAATTCCTTTCACTGATAAAAAATAATCCACAATAATACTCTCTCTCTCTCTCACCACCTAAGCCCGTACATAATTTCCTCCCCATAAGACTCTTACCGAATAATGTTTTCCCCAGACAAATTAATCCGATATAATTCAAATAATTTTCTCATTCAAATAGTAATGGATAAATTATTCTTGTGGAGGAGAACTAAACAATGATTTTCTGTGATAAGAACATAAGAATGGAGGTAACTGAAGCGAACCTATTGGCCCATACTAGGCAGCCCTGTTTACACCCAACCCCTATCGCTCATTATATCCGTCCAGCCTATATTTGAAACTACCCAGCGTGTTCGAGTTATTGTTGAAGTTCGGTAACTTATTGCACTCATCCACTACAGTACTCTATTTCCAAATAAATTTTTACCTATCTCGCGCCCAAAGTTAAGTTTGTCTAATTTAAAACCATTGCTACGAATTCGCTCCTGATTGGATAATTTGAGTACCTTTGTTATGTCACATTTGTTTAACCCTGACTTCCATTTCTACACCTCTATCATATCGCCCCTCACTCTACGTCTCTCTTGGGAGTGCAAATTAAGATACTTTAATCTGTCTCTGTACTCAAGGTTCCTAATGCCCGGGATTAGTCTTGTCACTCTGCTCTGAATGTTTTCTAGGGATTCTATATCCATTCTGTAGTACGGTAACCAAAACTGAACCGCGTAATCCAAGTGAGGTCTCACAAGCACAAGAGATAGTTTTAGGATAACCTCGCTAGTCTTGTAACTAACACTCCACTGTATGAACCCAAGTACTTTGTTAGCCTTGTTTCGAGCAAATACGTATTGTTATCTTAGTTTAAGATTCCTACTTAACATTACTCCTAAATCTTTGTCAGTTGGATTTTTCTATAATAACGTTGTTCATCTGGTATCTGTTTTCTCTATTTACATCTCCTAGATAAAGTACTTTACATCTGTCCACATTAAATTTCATCTGCCATTTTTCAGACCAGGCGAAAAATTTGTTTAGATCTTCCTCTAGATTTGCGGAATCCTCGTCAGATTTAATTACACGACCTATTTTAGTGTCGTCAGCAAATTTACTTACGTTGCTGTCTTCGCCTATATCTATGTCGTTTATGTATATAATGAATAATAATGGTCCAAGTATTGAGCCTTGGGGTTACTCCACTAGTAACGTTACCCTAATCGGATTTAGTGCCGTTAATGCTTACTCGATGTTTCCTGTCCTGTAACCACACCCTAATCCATTTTAGAACATCTCCAATTCCACGAGCCTCCACTTTTCGTATTAATCTTTCGTGGGGTACTCTGTCGAAAGCTTTGCTTAAGTCGAGGTATACCACATCATAATCGTGTCCGTCATGCACTGATTCGAAAACAGTTGAAAAGAATGTTAACAGATATGTCAGACATGAACGCCAACTTGTGAAGCCGTGTTGGGAATCATTGATCAACTTGTGCTTCTCCAGGTGATTTCGAATAGTCTGAAATTATTGCTTCCACCAATTTGCCTACAATTGATGTTAAACTGATTAGGAGCACTTAACAGATATGTGCTGAAGTTAGGTCGCTTTCGGTGATAATATGCTAGTGCTGTATATGTTAGAGGTACAGGTAAAATAGTAACTACGTATAAGACACACCTGTGGTAATGCTGTTGTTTGTTTCCTCTACTGACCAAGTTCTGTTCAGGTGTTCAGGAGGGAGAGGTCGCGATACCTTAGACGTGCTGTGCTGGCTATAATTTCACTTTTAATTCTAATAAATGTTCCCCAGTAATCTGCAACACCCTGCTGTTATCATCATGTACTGTAAAACTAAAAGTATAAGGTAAGGAAATCTCTTTGAAATACTCTGAGGAATAATGTTTCTATGGCTAAGAAAGACTTAAGAAGTAATATTATTGTGTGTGGATTTGGTGAACTGTTTAACACTCAGGTGAATGGCGCTCTAAGGCTTTGATATTATGATACTTCACAACGATAAATGAGAGAGAGAGAGAGAGAGAGAGAGAGAGAGAGAGAGAGAGAGAGAGAGAGAGAGAGAGAGAGAGAACAATTATTAGAAAGTGTCATACCGTATCGTGAAGCTGAGGCCTAACATGGTTTAAACTCATGTTAGTGATAATATTTAACCTCGTATACAAGCTCGAGTGATCCTCTCCACCTGAAATCAACATCAGACTTCATGTAGCGATGTTTTTAACCCTGAACGCTGCTGGTCGCTCGTGTAGACGCTAAGAACCTACCAGTCACTGACACAACCTGATAAGATCCATTTTTATCTTCTGTACATAACCTGTTCATATATTACTTGTGGAGTTGACTTTGTGAACTGATGATCACAGACATACAACTATTGGTTTACATACAATTCGTGGATACACATACACACACACACACACACACACACACACACACACTAACACACACATTGACTGTACGAGAATAAAAACAGAGACAGTTCATATGAAAAAAACAACAACACTACACACCTGCCCAATCTATGTCACTCATTTAAGAACACTGGGCTTGGTGTGGCAGGTGGCGGCTGACGGACAAAGTTACTTCATTAAAGTCATCGTCGCTCTGGCCAGGTCTACACCGACCCTCCATTAGCATGACCTGAAAAAATGGGTTGAGACCTGAACAGAGAGACCATTAATATCTTGTGAACAATGTGAGGGAGCGAGGCATCTCTCCTGCCTCTACCATGGCGGCGACCTCCACTGTGGCTGTGACCTCCACTGTGGCTGTGACCTCCACCGTGTATGTGACCTCCACTATGGTTGTGACCTCCAACGTGGCTGTGACTTCCATCGTGTCTGTGACCTCCGTGGTTGTGACCTCCACCGAGGCTCTGACCTCCTCCGTGGTTGTGACCTCCACTGTGGCTGTGACCTCCACTGTGGTTGTGACCTCCACTATGGCTGTAACCTCAACTGTGGCTGTGACCTCCAGTGTGTTTTGTCACTTAAATGACCCGCGTCTCTCTCCCATGGCGCTTGCTATAATTTTTCGTCATCATGAGTGAACAGTATCTGAAAAAAGGATCTGCCAGGATGGGTCTAATGACTTCCGAAATGCTACAGGCAACTCATGATGTCTCGGGAGGGTTGGTATGTGTGGCTCTGTGGCCTACTGATCCTACAACATTTGGTAACCGAACATTATATTAATTACGCCGAAATTAATACACATTGTTTTACTAAAGTTATACTACATGTGCTACTATCTACCATCCGTGGTCTCATAATGTTTCACACAGTGTGGACAGATACTTTTTGAGATCCTTTACATACAACACCCTGGTGTTCCAACCATTCTCTAGTACAACACCCTTCAACACCCTGGTGTACCTACCATACCCTGGCACAACACCCTGATGTACCTACCATACTCTAGTACAACACTCGGGTGTACCCTACATCACCTTGGTGTACCTACTATACCCTGGCACAACACCCTGACGCACCTACCATATTCTAGTACAACACCCTGGTGTAGCCACCATATCCTGGTACAACACCCTGGTGAACCCTACAACACCCTGGTGTACCCACCATATCCTGGTACAACACCCTGGTGAACCCTACAACACCCTGGTGTACCCACCATACCCTGGCACAACACCCTGGTGTACCTACCATAACCTGGTACAACACCCTGGTGTACCTGCAACACAATAAGCAGTAGCAGTACCCGGGCCTCAGGTGTAAGGTAATCAGTGTGATCACTCAGTGTGTGGGGTGGACGGCAGGTAACCTGGTAATGAACACTAATACACACAGTACGTGGCAGTAGCATCTCCCCCGAGCCTGGTGACCCTCACCTCCGGGGTCACTGTTAACGTTACCTAACACTTCCCTCCACACCCTGGTGACTGATGGCCTCATCAAGATAACCTGATGCACATCACCATACCTCTACCTCAGCCCCGTCACCACACTATTACCACGCACCACCCTCGTATGTAACACACATAAGCTGTATCCAGGATGTATCACACAGGGGCTGTATCCTGGTTGTGACACATTAGGGGTACGACCTGGGTGTAACACATAGGAGGTTGAATCATTATCTCCAGCTTAAACTCCAACAAAACTTTATGCAATAAATGCAATTTTAAAATTTTTTCTTACACTGTCCACTTCATCCACGGATCACTGCAGGAATATACTAATATTTATTTCAACCTCCGGACAGTAATTTCAGTGAGTGGATATGTTCTTACTAGCGGCTCTACCAGCCCACACAGCGAGGCTTATGACCCACACTGTAGAGGAACTGTCACGTCCGGACTGGCTCATGTAGGGCTTAACACCCGGAGTTAATAGCGACATGTGGTGTAATGGTTAGCATGCTCGCCTCGCAAGCGAGTGGACCCGGGTTCGATCCCTGGGCAGGGTGAAACTATGGGCAAATTTCTTTACGCCATTTGCCTCTGTCTACCCAGCGGATCGTGTTCCGGGGTAATGGTTAGCCACTGCTGTTAACGAGTTGTCCGGTCTTCTCGCACTATTCCTTGACACTGGGTCATGCAACTCGATAACTCTGGGCCTGACAACCATCCTCGATCTCGAGGGGCATCCATAATAATTTAATGTGTCAGCTCTGAGAAAATGGAGAGACCACAAGAAGGACGGGCGTGTTAGCTGTGGATGTTCGGTATTAAGTTTTGAACACTGCCGTAATGACTGGAGTACGTAGTGACAAGAGTAGTTTTTTCTCTTTGTGAAACACCTTTGTTACAACTTGGTATGGTGACATCAAGCCTAATGATGACAAGGTTCACTACAGCTGATCAACATTAAATTAGTCACTGACGAGTAATGATCCACTAGTGACAGACGATGGATGTGTGTCAATACTTCCAGATATCAGCTCATGAATACATCACGGTCGGGTCGTCTAGTGGTACAGGTATCACCTCTTTTTACTCTACTTAATTATACAATTTATCCTCTTTTGCCACTGATAGGCCTGTTAGCCGTTTGGGGGATCGGTCACGTCTCTGTTACGCTTGCACTGCTCCATAATGTATCTGTACCTGCGCCAGTGTTAGTCACTTGCATGGTAATAATTTTGTTTGAGTGCTGATGGGGTGTGGGTGCTCTATAGGGACGACCAACCAAACTATGCAGTACCAAATGACAATCAAAAGAGAAGAATGCAGGAGTTGCTTGGTAAAAAAATAAGTGTAAGATTTAAGGGATGTAATAAATTGCGTCTTTTTCAGTCTATTGAATCGAGTTCCAAAAGTTGTCAGACAACAAAACAAATGTAAGATTTCTTTACGAATATGTAATATCAAACATCCCACAGAATAATATAATTCATGGTAAGAGAAGAGCTTCTGGCAATAGAAGAGAAATGTTGTCATCAAAGTACCGTCACTGACTCATGTCTGTCTGGGATTGTTCTGTGAGTCAAATCCCCACCCCCAAATCTACGAATTGCGCCAGACAGGTAAGTATTATAAATATATAAATGCCAATTCAAGATTAGTACTCTTGTCCTGGACTCTTTATAGAGTTCATCTTGCTCCAGCTGATTGGGTTACCTCATCACCCTTCACCAAACACGAAAACAGATCTGTTGACGTCATCTAACCTCGTGATTCTTGTTGTGCTCAGGTGATGACGATCTCAGGAAGAGATTGATGGTAGAAAAGAGCTTTCTTGTCCAGACTACAATTTGGTACATGATCACTTCGTAGCTACTGTCGACTTATTGCGTGCGTGTCAAGGAGCATCACCACAAGCTTCGCCTCCATCGAGCAATGCACTGCCCTATCACATTATGCGATCCCGTTCCGAGCAATGGTCCGAGTCGAGCACACTAAGCTGATCTAGACTTGCTCTCTGTAAATGAGATGGGATGACAACCGTGTGGAAACAGACTACAACCAGACCCGCTGACTCTGGATCCAATTCAGAAATTCTAAAAAGATTTTGTCTGTTGCTCTTGCCAAGCTGGACAAAATATTCCGTCGTTTTACCAGCAGGAACTCCCAGTTTTTGTTGCATTACTAACGCGTGTTGCGTTAGTTCTTTAGTAAATCCACTTCAGCCAGACATTCTTGCTGTATTTTATAAGAATGTGTGCCATAAAGGTCCTATTTTTTTTTTAATTCAGGTAACACAAAGGTCACCCCTCTTCCCCAGTTTGATATTTTTTATATTTTTTTTCAAAAGCGTTGAGGATGGTCCCGAGCAGAATTGCATGTTGGTACTGTCTTTAAATAATATTAGAAGAATCTCGTGAGCAATCGAAAGTTCAGACGTCACTCCGTTACTGCGCTGAAATGTCACTGAAATACTGAGGGAATTATACTGAAAGAGGATAATACAAACGAGTGGACGAGGGATGGAAGAGAGACAGTTATGTGTCGGCCGCTTTATGACAGTATTGTAAAACATGACATGATGAAGCTTTGGGTGATGATGACCTGAGTGGTGAGGGAGCAGGACAGGTGTGGTGACCTGGGTGGTGAGGGAGCAGGACAGATGTGGTGACCTGGGTGGTGAGGGAGCAGGACAGGTGTGGTGACCTGGGTGGTGAGGGAGCAGGACAGATGTGGTGACCTGGGTGGTGAGGGAGCAGGACAGGTGTGGTGACCTGGGTGGTGAGTGTGGTGAGGAGCAGGACAGGTGTGGTGACCTGGGCAGAGGGAGCAGGACAGGTGTGGTGACAGATGTGGTGAGGGTGAGGTAGCAGGACAGGTGTGGTGGGTGGTGACAGGTGTGGTGACTGGGTGGTGAGGGAGCAGGACAGGTGTGGTGACCTGTGTGAGGTGTGTGAGGGAGCAGGACAGGTGTGGTGACCTGGGTGGTGAGGGAGCAGGACAGGTGTGGTGACCTGGGTGGTGAGGGAGCAGGACAGGTGTAGTGAGCAGGACAGACCTGTGGTGAGGGCAGGACAGATGTGGAGGTGGGTGAGTGACAGGCAGGACAGTGGTGACAGGTGTGGTGACCTGTGAGGCAGTAGTGACAGGGAGCAGGACAGGTGGTGACCAGTAGTGAGAAAGCAGGACAGGTGTGGTTAGTGAGGCAGCAGGTGTGGTGACCTGTGTAGTGCAGTGTGGTTACCTGGGTGGTGAGGCAGTAGGTCACGTGTGGTGATTTGGGGGGTGAGGAAGCAGGACTGGTGTGGTGACCCGAATGATGAAGAAACAGGACCGGTGTGGTGACCTGGGTGGTGAGGGAGCAGGACAGGTGTGGTGACCTGCTGGTGAGGCTGCAATATAGTGAATCAAGAGGTGGACCAGCGTGACCTCGTGAGTCAATAAGTGGACCATCGTGACCTCGTGAGTCAGTGAGTCAACAAGAAAATGGTCTCTTCTTCTCCTTCAGGTAGATGGTCCTGTGTCATGACTTCTGACTCACCTGCTACCTGACCGTCACTGTGTCAACATTAACCAGTCATTATCTCAGGTTAATGACACGTTACACCTGGACTAATAACCATTACCCGTCTCATAACACTCCGTGACCACAACTCACAACTACAGGGTACTCGAGCTACATAAAGCTCGACTATCATCACTATGGCAAGAATCGTCCTTAATTCTTACTCTCCCCTCTTCCAAAATGGGACTTTCAGCGACCCGCCCACTATCCAGGCATCACTCCCGCCCATTATCCAGGCATCACATCCGCCCAATATCACAGCATCACATCCGCCCACTATCCAGACATCACACCCGCCCACTATCCAGGCATCACATCCGCCCACTATCCAGACATCACATCCGCCCACTATCAAGGCATCACATCCGCCCACTATCCAGGAATCACACCCGCCCACTATCCAGGCATCACACCGCGCATCCACCCGCCCACCATCCAGCATAACACCAGCCCACTATCCAGGCATCACACCCGCCCACTATCCAGGTATTCACACCTGCCCACTATCCAGGTATCACACCCGCCCACCATCCAGGTATCACACCCGCCCACTATGCAGGTATCACACCCGCCCACTATCCAGGCATCACACCACCCACTATCCAGGTATCACACCCGCCACCATCCAGGTATCACACCCGCCCACTATCCAGGCATCACACCAGCCCACTATCCAAGCATAACACCTGCCCACTATTCAGGTATCACACCCGCCACTATCCAGGTATCACACCCGCCCACTATCCAGGTATCACACTCGCACACTATCCAGGCATCACACCAGCCCACCATCCAGGCATAACACCCGCCCACTATCCAGGTATCACACCCGCCCACTATCCAGGCAACACACCAGCCCACTATTCAGACATAACACCCGCCCACTATCCAGGTATCACACCCACCCACTATCCAAGTATCACACCCGCCCACTATCCAGGCATCACATCCGCCCACTCAGCCAGACATCACATCCGCCCACTATCAAGGCATCACATCCGCCCACTATCCAGGGGATCACACCCGCCCACTATACAGGCATCACACCACTATCCAGGATCACAACGCCCACTATCCAGGCATCACATCCGCCCACTATCAAGGCATCACATCCGCCCACTATCCAGGTATCACACCCGCCCACTATGCAGGCATCACACCCGCCCACTATACAGGCATCACACCCGCCCACTATACACGCCCAGGACGACCAAAGTTTGGCCTCAGTATTTCAGTGTCAAGTCTTTCTTAAAGTTGTTGACCTAAAATTAATAGTTTACATTCTCCCTGAGGCATCCATCCCCTGGCCCTGACCCGTGACCCGTGGCCCATGACTCCTAACCCGTGGCCCAGGACCCGTCGTCATTACTCCTGACCCGTGGCCCATGATCCATCGTCATTTCTCCTGACCCGTGGTGCATGACCCATGATTTCTGACCTATGACCTGGCCCATGACCTCTAACCCAGCCATCCCTCACCCCATCCCCTGACCCCTGTCTGACCCAGCCATCCCTCACCCCATCCTAAGACTCGGGGGATCGGTGGTAGAAGCGGTACCGTTTTTGCCTCGCAAGCGAGATGTCACGAGTTCAATTCCCGGGCCGGTGGAAGTTGTTTGGACTTACTTCCTAGCCCCCATTAGTCCCTGTTCACCTAGCAGCAAAGTAGGTACCTGGTGTAAGTCGAAAGTTGCGAATTAGTATTCAGGGAAAGTTGTTGGAGCTTCCAATAACTTGATGACATAAAACCATTGACTCTTCAGGCTTCTACGCCCTTAACTCATGAGACATAAAGGCAAGCATGAACTTAGCATGCTTCCCTGTTGGGCGCTGTAGACGCTTCTGCGCTTCACATTACACAAGGATGTAGGGGGGAGCCCAATAAAAAAAAAAAAATCCTAAGACTCAAGTCTGCCGACCCAGCTCTCTTTACCTAATCCCAAGACCCAAGAGCCCAGAACCATGACCTTAGCCCTCTCTCACCCCATCCCAAGATTCAAGACCCCCGACCCATGACCTAGCCCCCCTCACCCTACCCCAAGACCCATGATTCAGACCTCCCGCACTTCCTTCCCTACCTCTGCCCCTCAACCTGGTCAGGCCCGAAGCTCTAGTTATCTTGTTTAAGACAGACTTTACATCATTTCTTTCACTGTCTTTGTAATGATTGTGATTAATAACATTGTCGTCCGATACAACCACACGTTCTTTTGTCTCTAGTGAACGTTTTAATGTGTATGACCACCAGCTGCTTTTAGTAATGTGTTCCTTCCGCTTTTACCACGGAGGATAAGGTGACTATCTGTCTACCATAATCACCATCTTGTTGTTATTGTTGTTTAAAGAGTATATTGGTTTACTAATTACAAAAAACAAATCGTCTACGTCAAACAACAGACTATAATACACCACATCCCTTCACCTACATAACATGATTAAAAAAATAACAATACAGTGCATAAACCTAAGTACACCATAAAACCATTTGGACGAAATAATCTGGACACACTTCAGATTGCGTCACTCGCTGCTTTAGGCGAGGCGCTATAAACCCCCACCAAAATTGGGTGATTGTACTGACATTACCAATTTCACTCCACGTTACGACTGAAAATTGCCAGTTTTCGCTCGAGTGGTCGGGAGCAGCACCACGGCCCAGCACCAAGACGGAGGAGACAGCGACACAACAATGAAAATTTAGACCCAAAATTTCCTCCAAATGTTCAGATTTATAAGATCTTGGCCGCGAGTGATGGTGACACCCGGAGCTGTATGTAGCCAGACACCTGTGTTGGGGGAGGGAGGGAGGGAAGGAAGAAATGTGACAGGGAGAGAGGGAAGGAGGAAGGAAGGTAGGGTGAGAAGGAAAGAGAGAGGGAGAGATGATGGAAGAGAGGGGGAGAAGAGGAGAGGGAAAGAAGGCTAGAAGAAAAACAAATAATAAGAAGGAAAAGTAAGTAAATGAAGGAGAAAGAATAGCTAGAAGGAAGAGGGAAGAGCTAACGGGGAGAAGAAACATTAAGAAGAAGGATACAGAAAGGAAGGAGAGAGAGAGAGAGAGAGAGAGAGAGAGAGAGAGAGAGAGAGCAACAGCCCGACGCTCTGGGATGGAACACAAGTCACATTAGGTCGTGCCAATGTTAAAATCCTTCTTGTTCTCGTTATAAGAAGCTAAACAGCCTTTATACGACAATTTCCTCTATTTTACGGAGACTCTCGTACACACACTGCCACATCTGAGCCGATAATTTGCATAACACACGCAGCTCTCTCCTACTCCCTAAACTGCTGGGATTACGTGTGTTTAAAGTTGGTTGTTTGTTGAGAGGGAGGCGAGTGGTGGTGGTGATGAGAGGGAAGTGAGTGGTGGCGATGAGAGGGTGGGAAGGAGGGGAGGGGTGGTGGTGTTGATGAGAGGGATGCAAGTGGGGGTTGAGAGGGAGGCGAGTGGTGGTGGTGATGAGAGGGAAGTGAGTGGTGACGATGAGAGGGTGAGAAGGAGGGGAGGGGTGGTGGTGTTGATGAGAGGGATGCAAGTGGGGGTGTTGAGAGGGAGGCGAGTGGTAGTGGTGGTTTTGAGACAAAAACGAGTGATGGTGTGCTGACCGCTCAGTTGTATGCTGACCTTACTAAAGGAAAGGTCATGGCCAATTCTGCTCCCAGATATTAACTGCCAAAGCAATAGCTAGTGCTATTTGTGAGCAGCTATGTGCCTCTTTGAAAGCCGACTAGTGAAGGTCAAGGGCGAAAACTTGATCTTAAAGAAAGTGATTGTGAGGATGAAGGAGGAAGATACGAGACAGGGAATTTAACGACACTACAGGTCAATGGACAGTAGTGAGGAGTGGAACGACCAAACAGATGGTGAAAACAAACAACAAGGAAACGAGAATAGTTAAGTGTACTAACATTTTTAGTTCTTTGGTAGACGAAGTGGACGGTAATATAGTCACGAGCAAGGCTGACAAGGAAGGTAAGAAAACCTTAATTGTTGGCGAGTCTCAGGTTAGGTACCTACATCGAGCGTTCTGTGCCAAAAACAGAAATAGGATGAGTGTGTTTGCCAGGAGCTGGGGTGACGAATGTAGTTGACAGGATGGACAATATCATGTCTGATAATGGAACAAACCCATTATCTGCCACCAAGCAGGAGGCAATGATATTGGCTGGTGTAGGAGTGAGGAGCTCTTTGATAAGTTCAAGGCAGCTATTGCCTGGATTAAGAGGAAGGGAGGGATCCCTATCATATGTGGTGTCCTGCCTAGAGGGGGAGTTGGGAATGAATGGTTGTCAAGGACAGTTAGGGTCAACGGCCATCTTGACAAATATTTTAAGTCAATATCAGTCCCATTTATTGACAACTGGGACAATTTCTATGGCAGAAGGGACCTTTATGCTAGGGATGGGGTACATTTATCTAGGGATGAGGGGGCAACCCTGGCTGGCTCTCTCTTTAGGGCAGTTCAACAGATGTCGAAGTCTTTAAACTTGTAGAGGACCATGTGGGCATGAGGAGACTGCAGTGGGCATGTGTAAACGAAGCGAAATGTTACAGATAAATCATGTTGGGAATGATGATAAAGCTAAATAAGGCAGAGTTAAAACCTAAATGCGACAGAGAGAAGACTCAGATTATGACTAAATTAAATCTCTTACTACATAAAGTAGAAGTATGCGAAATGAAATGGACGAAATCAGGGCATTGGTATGTACCGAAAAATCGATATAATAGCACTCACCGAAAAATTTGTAAACGCAAGACTCACGTGACTTACCTGTCGAATACCAAATTAAAGGTTACAAATTATTTCATACCGATAGGCAGTTAAGGAAAGGAGACGGGGTAGTAACCTATGTCAGGGATAATTTGAAGTGTGAAATCAATAAGGAAATAAAAACTGAACGGAATACAGAAACAATTTGGATAGAAATAACCGATGGTTAGGGAAAACTTAATCATGGGAGTAATATATAGGTCGAGCTCCTAATCTCGAGAGGGTTAATAAGCAACTTATTTGGGATGAAATACGCAGGGCATCCAGACATATCAGTCTGTATAGTAGGAGACTTTAACCTTGGCCAAATAGATTAGACTGACCTTACAGGTAACTCAGAATCAGAGGATTTTCTCGAGACGATCCAGGACTGTTTCCTAAGTTAACATATAACCGAACCCACACGGGGTAATAATATACTCGATTTAGTTCTGTCGAACAGAGAAAACCTCATTAGCAATGTCGAGGTAGGGAACGAACTTGCAAACAGCGATCACAAAGAAATTAGATTCCAGTTAGATTTTCAGGGCAGACGTAAGGAAAATTCCACTGAAGTACCAGATTTCAGAAGGGCAAACTTTGACAGTTTAAAGAGGCAGCTGAGAGAGGGGGTGTCGCGCTTGGCTGTGAACCTGACAGATGACTCCGACCTGATAACGAGATCTGAGATTGCCGAGTTCCACGACAATTTAAATAATGAGTTACTTAATGCACAAAGGCAGAACATACCATACAAAAAACTCAGATCAGACAACAATGACCCTAAATGGATAAATGATTATTTAAAGAACATCATTGGCCAAAGGAAGGCTATAGGTAGAAGGATAAAGCGTGGCGAAATTTACCTCCAGGATTATTATAAGATATTGGCGAGTAGGGTTAAAACCGAGATAAGGAAAGCCAAGAGGAATAATGAGGTAAGGATAGCAAGGGAGGCGAAGACAAACCCCAAAGGATTCTACCAAATGTATCAAACTAAAACACGAGAAAAGATTGGACCAATACGGTCAGATACCGGCGAGCTCACTGATAACGACGGAGAAATGAGCAATAATTTGAATAAATATTTTTCAACAGTTTTCACCACTGAAAATTTAAACATGATACCCGAGGCACCGACTCTATTCAGAGATAGTGAAGAAAACAAATTAAGCGAGATAGTAGTGACTAGTAACGATGTTAGTAAGCAAATAGACAAACTAAAGCCTAATAAGTCACCTGGTCCCGATGAGATATTTGCCAGAGTATTAAAGGAATGTAAGGAAGAGCTTAGTATGCCCTTAGCAAAGTTGTTTAACATGTCCTTAAAAACAGGTGTAGTACCAGAATCCTGGAGGATAGCGAATGTAATACCGATTTTCAAGAAGGGGGATAGATCACTATCCTCTAACTACCGCCCAATCAGTCTAACATCAATAGTAGGCAAATTACTGGAAGCAATCATTTCAAAC